ATACCTCATCCGCGAGACGCAGCCGTCGTCTAGTTTTTACTTGGAGGCTCGGAAAGGAATGGCTTGCTTCGGGAGAGATCCCTGGGAAACAGGGTCCATGTGCTGTCACTGTATACTTAGGTCTTTGTTACGTCCCCAATATGGCTCAGCCTAGGAGCGAATGGGGACTAACATATGAGCCATGGATTAAACGGAAGGAGATACACAAACAAAAAAAATACTGCACTTCCTACAAACCCATACCCTCTAAACCTGTCTCCCAAGAAAGGGGGTGGCAAAGCCTAAGAAAAGTCTTCCGCAAGCTAACTTATTACACTAAACGAAGCTGTAACGGAAAACAGAAAAAAAACACGAGCCACAACACTCCCAATCTCCACCACAGCCCAGTAAACAACCCGGCAGAGCTCGCGTTTACCAAAAACTACAAACCAACATCAGTCTCGCAAAACGTCGCCGTAGTTTATTCCACACCTCTCTTCTACCTCTCTCTGCGGACGACCCTTACCGGCGTTTTAAAAACGAGCCGCTCTCTTCAACCAATCCAGAGAGAGACCCAGTTTAGGGACACACCCGGCTCCAAAAATGGACCCCCGCATGGGAGGGGAGTTAAAAAAATAAAAATTCAGAACCTAACATTTTCAAAACCATTATCATTTTGCAAGTGATTGCTTTTAAAAGTTACCTACTCAATGGTTGCCCGTACCCCTCCCTGTCCTCTGTCTTTGCCCATCCAACACCCCTTCCTTTCTCCCCCCCTCCTGTTTCTGTCTGCCTCTCTGTCCCCCACAGGCGAGATCGCTCTGCTGGAGGGGCTGACGGTCGTCTACAAGAGCAACATCGACCTGTACTTCTATGTCATCGGCAGCTCGCACGAGAACGAGGTAATAACGGGGTCAGGCGTCATCAAATGGAAAAGGTTGCAGTGAGCTTTGGCCTCGGGTGATGTCACAGGGGTGCTGCAGTAATCAGATACACAAGCAGGCAATATGCATGATAAGAGTGTTATTATAATTAAATGAGTTCAGACGTTGCTAATTGATGCCCAGTGGAGAAAGACATTGCATTCGTTTTTTTTATAAGGTTTCAGCTATGTTCAGTTCCACGTCTAAATCACTGTTTTAAAAATGCAGAGTTAAAATCGCAGAGTTTAACCCAGGCCATGTCTTTTTCTTTTTCAAATAAACAGTTAATGCTCATGTCCGTCTTGAACTGCCTGTTCGACTCTCTCAGTCAGATGCTGAGGTAAGAGACTGCCGGCGTGACCCAGAGGCGTTGAGACAAATGAAGATCAAAGAGGCTTTTTAGACACAGTTTAAATTAAAAAAAAAAACCCAAACCGATCTGCGAGCCATAAATTCCAAGGCAGATTTCCACTGGGAGGGCATAAGAAGAAAAATAAACAGTGTCGAGAATGGGGATTGTAATCTGCAACATGCAAATTAGATTGAAGTTCTTAATTAAAACCTGATACAGCAGGTTTTAAAGGTCGCCAATTACTTAAGACCGGGAACAAATTAACCGTGATCAATTACGCAGGTGATCTGTTATGGTAGTTTAGAGATCCCACAGTCCAGAGACATGCTGTGGTAGGTGAAGCTGCTAGGAGATGGATGGACAGATCATGTGGCACAGAAATCTGGACACCACTTGGGCAAAAGTATTTGATCACATTATTGGCTTTGTTGCTCAATAAATTACAGGTGTTCCCACTCTTTGGAAACAGGAGATTTAGGGTCACCAGGGTTGGGGGTACAGCCTCCTGGTTTGGGGCTCTCCAGAACTAGAGTTCGAGGGTTTTGCCGCAGAGCAAAGCGTTCAGCTCTCTTCGGGCCAACAGCAAAGCATCAGACTGATTCTCCGCGTGAAGTCTCGCAAAAGACCCTCCAAAAGCAGCTTTTGATCTCCGACGGCCCGGAGGTTTCGCTCTCGTGTTTAGGGGGGAGATCCCGTGGTGGCGGTCCGATCTAGTCGCCCCCGTTGAGGGATCGGAGCGGCGAGGTGGCTGACGCGCGTTCCTCTTTCCCCCTCCTCCAGGAAGAACGTGGAGAAGAGGGCCTTGCTGGAGAACATGGAGGGGCTGTTTCTGGCCGTGGACGAGATCGTGGACGGCGGGTCAGTCAGTCTCCCATCGCGCTCTCGGGTGGCAGGCGGTTCGCGGCGCGGGTGTTTTTCATTTCCTGTCGCGGGACGCCAGCGGTCGGAGGACAGGCCCCTCCAGCCGGGCGCCCGTTTGCTTTCCGTGTAGAGATTCGGTCCGAGACGGACGAGGTGAAAGTCAATCAAAGCTTATTTATCAAACGCTCAAGAATACAGCATGCAGCAGTTGTTGCTGGCAGTGAAATGTCTTCAGTGACGGGGGACGTGGGGGTGCACGAAGCCCCCGTTACCCCTCCTCTCGGGAGGAGAGCCTGCGTGCCGGCGTGGCAGGCTGCGCCGCGCTGACGCAAAGGGGGAAGCTAGGAGCTCCCGAGCCGCTGGAGAGCAGTGTCCCAGATGGCGGCGCGGTCAGCCAGGGCACAGTCCGAGTTCTGGCCAGTAGTGACTCCCTGCATCCCCTGAGGGGACGCTCTGCTCTGGGACCCCTGCCCTCCCGTCTCCGAAGACAAACCCTGTTCTGCTTCCTAATCTGCCTGGCGCACACAGGCGGCTCCGCCCCTTCCTTCATCGCTGTGAGGAATGTGTAGCATGGATCCCGAAGAAACTGTAGCCAACCAGCATTTGATAACTACATAGCATACTATCTAAATACTGGGATTATAATCCTACGACATTTCTTCAACACAATTCAGTACAGTACTCGCACCGTGCATCAGGGGCAGATGGTCCATCATTTCCCTAATCTTTTGTGTGATGTAATTAAATGATGAGCCGCTGAGGTCATAGAGCCAATTACTAAAGTCTTGGAACGAATTGTCTGGGATCAATTAAACAGGTGATCTTTTATATTCATTTAGAGATCGCACTGTCCAAAGACATGCTAACAGGTGAAGTGGCTCCTGGGGAAAGACCTGTTACCTGTCAGTTTTACCTTGTCCGTCTCGGAGATTGTCTTTGAATTGTCCTCTAAAGTCAAACAGTTTCTGGGGGGTTTGGCCTGGAGGTAAATAATATTGAGGTGTTATAATGCACAAATAAAACCCCTGTACTGTAGAGCTCATTTCTGGGTAATTATGCTCCACGTAATGAGCACAGATGTGTAAAAACAGATTTAAAGCGTAGGGGCACCAGCGCTTCAGAAACTGCGGCTCGAGCAGATGGGCCTCCTGACAACACCCCCCCCCCTCTCTTCCTCTCTCCCTCAGGGTGATCCTGGAGAGCGACCCCCAGCAGGTGGTTCACCGCGTGGCCTTGAGGGTGAGTCTTCCGGTGGGGGGACAGACGGGAAGGCCGAGGAGGAGCAGCGAAGATGAGACTGAGACGGCAGGTCGACAGCCCCAGAGAGGCAGAACTTACCCCAGAAATTGGCTCTTCTTCTCTTCTTCAGGCCCAGCACTAGGTTGCATTGGGGGGGGGTGGATAGAGAATTTGTGGGTCCAAGCACACTCGCGCCCCTCCTACTTGAGCATTATCCAAGCTTGTGGTTGTGTACGCAGATATGCCTCATCCCTGTAATACCCACAGATCTCAGAGGAGGGGCGGGTTCTATCTTGTTTTTTTCCCCAATCTCAGTGCTTTCCACCCTGCTGGAAACTGTATTTTTATCCTTCACATTCTGACAGAATGGGGGCGACATGATGGCACAGTGGTCAGCATTGCTGCCTCACAGGGGTGTCCGGGGTGCACCCCACCTTGTGCCCGTTGCTTGCCAGGTTAGGCTCCCCCCCGACCCTCAATTGGAAGAGACAATTAAAAAATGGATGTGTAAACTACTTTGATCTCTGAAGTGTGAAAAACGTTTGAGGTGGCAGGCGGTGAAAATGAACTCTTTCGAGATTTCCTCAGCGGTCAATGCTTAAGAGTAAGACACCCTGCACCTCTTGCTTGCCAGGTTGGGATCCGGCTCCCCCACGACCCTGAATTGGAAAAGGCTTAGAAAAGCTCAGTGTGTGGGAGTGTGCGGCACCGTCGCCTGAATTGAACTTGCCTCACGAGAGCCTTTTTTCTCAGGACCGCAGGAACGCCCGAACCGGAGCTTTGCTCGGTTTAATGAGTGTGGAATTAAAATCTAGGATGACTCTGAACTGGCTGTGGAGTAAAGGTCCCCATTGTGCTGCAGGCTGAGCTCTGTGGAGTTAAAGCATGAATCTTAATTGGATTGCGTCGCTTGACCGGAGCAGCGCTGTGTTTTATCGTCCGTTTTTCACTCAAGGGCGGTTTTGTTCCGCCGAGTTGTTGTTGAGTCTCGTGTGTCGGGTTCCTCCAAAGCTGCTTCTGATTGTTGTGAAGGGTAAAAAGTTAAGCCTCTTGAATACCCTGTTCTGTTTCTGGAGGGGGGCGGGGGGGCATGGTCACGTCTGTATCCTGAGACTGAACACTCCTCCAGGGGCAGGGTTTTGTAAAGCTCAACTACTGAAATAAAACTAGGATTGGTTCTGCGATCGGGGCACTTGGTTTCCTGCCCTCGTGTAGAGCCCAGGGCAATCGGCAGAGACCAGGCTGAGCACAGATGAGACCTCCCTCTCACCTGGTGTCTCCTGGGGCCCGACCATGTGGAAATTGCACTGCACAGCAAAAACCGCGCACAGGAGCATTTATTCAGCCACAAATACAACACGAATCTTGTGCTTCCTCTAAATAATTCTCACTGAAAACTAGGCCAACACGATTCACTGCTGTGAGTCCCTCAATATTCCAGCTATCCACTTTCTAATCCATTTTATCCATACAGGGTCGTGGGGTGCTGAAGCTTATCCTGGCAAGCCAGGGGCACAAGGCAGGATACATCCTGGACAGGACACCAGTCCATTGCAGGGCACACAGACTAGGGCCAAGTTTCCTAAATCCAATTACCAATGAGCAGACTATGTGTTCCAAATTAGTCTTAATTGTGGCCCTGAGCCCTTCAGTTATTAACTAATTGATAATCAGCGTATGTACTCAGCTCAGCTGATACTACTATCCTCACTACAGCTGGCTTGCCACGACGGCCAGTCCTGCTCTTTCAAAGTCCCTATCTTGCAGGATTTCCAGGAATGCTCAAAGGCACTTCAAGAGACGTGTTAAACATTCCCCCTGACCCGGTTAAGTAACCGATTCGGTTCTCTGTGTTGGGCCTTGGCACACCAAGTCTCTCACGCACCAGCTGGTTCTCTATATAATAGCCTGGGTCACCCCGACCTTCTGCGACCTTGGCGGGCCTACAGTGCCATCAGCAGGAAATGGCGCTGGTCCTCCAGTTGGCGAGTCCTCTCCTGCTAGTCCCTGCGGTGCTCGCGGCACGCGCATCAGAGAAACATGCAAGCGGTTTTCCAAGCCGGTTAGAAAGCAGCCGGTGATCCCAGATTAGAAGAACCTCAAATGGAAGGCACAGGCAGCCCCCAGTGGCTTTTCACCTTCAAAAATATCCTTCCCGAGTCCGAAGCACGGAGGTTGCAGGATGTGTGTCTGTCTCTAATGTGCACCTCTTGAAGGCCTGGCATGGCATAGTGTTCACGTTAATTAAATAAAAAGCTGACAGTGGGGTTTAATGCAGCAGTCGGGGCTGCTATTACTAAGCTGGCCCTGCAGCGGATTGCATTGAAACTACAGCCTGCTGCTTATTTTTGCTGCCTTTAGGACGTGATTGTTCTGTCCTTGCTGAGTGTCTGACATGTTGGCTCTCTCCTTCGCAGGGGGATGACGTTCCTCTGACAGAACAGACGGTCACCCAGGTGAGACCATGACGCAGTCTTGAGTTCTATGGTTTTATTTCCATACTCTTGTCTCAACACCTGGGGGGGGGAGTGTGACTCGGTAATACGGAGCGTTTTGGCACGGGAAGTAGTTCTAAGCCTCCAACCTGTTAGCTGCTCTCCTGAATCCAGCACTGTTCCACAAGACGGATGTGGATCTGCGCCCAGACTTAGCCCCAGCACGCCCGCTCGAACCCTAGCCCCCGTCTCGGCTGAGGAACGTAAAAAGACTAAAAGCAGGGGGGTTTCATGTTCCTCCCTGTTTTTCGTTGAGCAGGCCGTCTTTTTTTCCGGCTTTCGAGGCGGAGCGTTGTTAGCGGCAGCCGTGATTCCGGGTGATGTTTGGTATTCCTCGCGCAGTTCTCCCAGCTCCTCTCGGAAGAGCTCTTCCTGCGTGTGGAGCATGATTGCTAATGACAGACTGCTGTTCGCTAGCAGGAGTCAGTGGGGCTCGAACGCCTGTGAATCCCTCTGATTAATGGCCTCATTTAAGAGCCATTTGACAGACTGCAGGTAGTTCTTTTGTGCCGTTGATTAATAGCGACTCTTTCCGTGCGCTTTACAGTTTGTCTCCTGTTCCAGGAATTACAATGATTGATTGATTTATTTTTTTTCTCTGCAGTGTTACTCATCTTTAGCTTCTAGCTTTTTACAGGCTTGTATCATTATTTGCCAAGTATCTTTTCCCTTGTTCTCCGTCTTTCTGTTTGGTCTCCCTTCGTGGCCCCGCCGCGGCTCCGCAGGCGTCAGGCGTGTGCGCTCTGGGGGCGGGTGGCGTGCCCCGTCAGGCGTGTGCGCTCTGCGGGCGGGTGGCGTGCCCCGTCAGGCGTGTGCGCTCTGCGGGCGGGTGGCGTGCCCCGTTAGGCGTGTGCGCTCTGCGG